CCCCCCCCCGCACACACACACTGCTTGCCCTTGGTGACTTCATCACCAGCCCTGATCTCTCTCAGGAGAGGGAGCTGGGCTGGTGACAAAGCCACAAAGGATGCACTCGCCCCTTCACAGTCCTTACCACCACCTTGACTTCCAAGGCCATGAGGACTGTGCTTGCCCCTCTGCTGCAGGAGGACCCCACTGGAGTGTCACTTCTCCTGTGGGGTGTTACCTCGTGTGGTGTATACCCCCTGCACTTGCCCAATGATGCTACTTTCTCCCTGGCCACTAATTTGCTGCACGTGTGCACCCAGTATCATTCTGGCTAGTGGCTCCCATCAACGTAAGGCTGTCCCTTTAGTTCTTAAGAGATGCTAAGGTGCAGAGACTTAGGTTCCAGGCAACATCAGTCATTGCTTGAATAAGTTAGACTCATGTTTCTCCTGGGTAATCTTTTGAGTTTCATTTCACTTTTCTAGTTCAGTGCTCTAGTTTTACATGTGCAAGAGTTCTTCTGTAGAAATTTCTTCAACATGTGGAAGATTCTTGCACCTTTAGATCCAGCACTAGAATGGTGCTGTTTCTACAACAAAAATCAGGAGAGGGAGCAAAACCCTGCCTTGTGTAGACTATGATATGAAACAGGGCTTCTGCTGACGTTTTAAATTTTGAGCAGCAAGGCTGTACCTATGGGAGAGGAAAATGCAGGAACCTGCTATGAATTCTGCCCCTCCAATGAAATTTCCCTTCAGTCCAAAATGCCTTGAGACAATGAAAACTGTTTACAACTAGAACTCTTGCATTTTCTGTGTTTGCATTCCTTTGGTAATTTTGCCATCTCATTTTTCTTGAGACACCTAAACTGTATTTCTAAATGTTCAACTGAAGCTTTAAGTTACTGCAAAGCTAAAAATTTGAAGAGTGGAAGAAAATTTCATGAGAAGGGAGAATTCTTATTTGGAAAACTATGCTTTCATTTCCTACCCTTTCCAGTAACTACATCCCTGCTGGGCAGGCTCACCGATATTACCAAAATACATTGAATGAACAAATGACTAGGCAGACCATTAAGACAGTAGTGACCCAAGATTTCTTCTTTCATTGAGGTAAGTTAAGGTAAAGTTGTCATGAATAATGTAGGTTCTATCATTGAAATTTCTGTCAAATCATCTTTCATATATCCCCTTTTCTATACTGTGATAATTCTTTTCTCAGATTTTTTTAAAAAAATGCCATGAATACATTACAAAAAAATTGTATATCTTCAGTCTCATTTGCCATTGTTATGCCCCCTCCTCTAGTTTTGAAATATCTTTTTGGAACAGTTCTTGATATGATTTTAGCCTTCCCAACATAAGTTATATGGTCATCATATTTGGTTGCCTATTGTACAACTCACACCACTTTGCTGTCATTTATGAACACTGGTTTCAAAATTGTTTCCTTTTATAGTCCTTTGAACATTTATTTGTGTTCGTCCAATTCAATGATTTATTCTTTCTCTTATGATTTTAATTGACGGCCTATTGATTATACTACTTGTTTTGCTTTACCCATGATGTAAATTTAATACTTCAATGTCTGTTGTAGATTGCCTGGATATGTGGTACAGGACAGTTAGGACAGGAATATTAGTAAGTAAAATACATTAAAAATTCCTTGTATCACGTTTCAATTGTTCTAACAATTGAAAAGAGTAGTTGGAAGAATGCCTCCAGCATTCCATACATTAGAGTCCTCAGATTCCCACATTCTCCAACATATTTTAAGAAAATTGCACAAAAGTTGGTAACACATTGTTGTTGTGTCTCTTCCAGTCATTTCAGACCAATGGCAACTCTAATGGCCTTGTTTCATGGGGTTTTCTTGGCAAGAGTGGTTCAGAGGTTAATTGTCTTCTTCTGAGGCTAAGAGAGTGTGACTTGCCCAAGGTTACCAAGTGTGTTTCATGGCCAAGTAGGGATTTGAGCCCTGGTCTCTAGAACTGTAGTCTAGTGCTCAAACCATTAAGCCACACTGGTTCCTTACCTGATTACATTTATTTACCTGGTTACATAGCATGTTACATTTATGTACAGCAATTTCTTCAGCCATTCTTGTTTCTTAGAGTGATTGTCTTCTTGAATGCTCCTCTGGTCTTTTCAATCCATAATTACAATCATGTATACATCTGGGTGACAGAATTTTTTCTCCATCCATTCACATATAGGCAAATGCATGTATATGTAGGAAAGCAGGTAGTTCTGTTATAGATGTGAACTGGTAAAAAAAAGGGGGAAGCATTGTCATTCACTACCTAGAATGAAGCTGGGATTCATGCAGCCTCTTGTGTGTTATTGGATTATAACAATAACATCCCTTGCCAGTATAGCCAATGGTGAAGAATCAGCATAACTGCAATTCAAGAACATCTAGAGGCCCATATGTTCCCAAGTCCACCTGCTTTCCTACATATACATGCATTTGCCTATATTTTGTCCAGTCTTCTGCTTCACTCCTTTGATATAGACTTCAGACCCTACTGAGACCAAGGTCCAATAATTCAAACAGTAACAACAGTGTCTGAAACATATTTCTGATTGTAAATGCAAATCACGATCTCTATGGATTCTGCATTTTTTCCTTATTACTTTGAAAAATATACAACATAATTTCACTTGTAATATCATTCTCAAGGATTGTTATGATAAGAGAAGCATGTAAAGCAAGGGTGCTTTAAGTACCAGAATTAATATTCATGAATATTGTTCCAATTGTTTAACTCAAATGCTCCAAAGATTTCCCCCCCAACACATCCTAATTGTTCTTGTTGTTGTTTATGATAATAGGTTTGCTTCTTTATATCCAAATGGTGACAGAAATCTTTCCTACTGAACATTCTTTTCTTATTTTGGTTACACAAGGTAGTAAAATAAGATAATAAAAGATAAAGGACCTACATGCATCTGGGAGTGAGGTGCATACACAGGTAAATCATTGGTAATCACAATTGTAATACAATTCCAGCTGTTCTTCTCCACCACTCTGTGCTGGTGAATCCTTACTTGGGGTCATGTTATATTATGAGATACAATAATAAGAATTAGTTCCTACTCCTCGTCTTATGATTGAGATGAAGAGCAGCAGTCACAGCTGATTTCCCATACTTGAATAGTTGTGTTTTTAATTGGGTTTAAACAAAAGGAAAAAGCATCTACAATGAAATTTGATTTTCTTGTTGTTGCTATATAGATTTTCTCAACTAAATTACAATCCCTAAGGAGAGAAGTATTTATGAATTCCATCTGATTTAAAGGGTCACTTGTCTTTCCCATTGTTTAAAGTGGGTGGGACAACCTAAGCAGCTTCCTCATTTTCACAGAAAAGAGAGAATCCTAGGGATGCATACTAGCTTGTGCAATAAATTTGTAGCTATTTATGAAGTTGAATAGATAAATTAGGAGCAAGTCCATATGTAAGTTTTCAGACATCATCATCATTATTAATAGCTGTTGTGGCAGCATCATCTTAATACACTCGTCCCTCCCTGTTCACAGTCTTGGAGTCTGCAGTCTTGTTCCTTTGCAGACAGCAAGCAGGGAAGGATAAAATGGTGCATGTGGAAGCGTGCCCTATTTTAACCAATGGGCTTTGAATATTTGCAGTTATTCTGATTCATGGAGGTGTGTGTCCAGAATGGATCCCCAGCAAATCAGGAGGGATGACTGTATTTACATCATGTTTTCAAATGTTCAAATCATTTTTGTTTATCTAGTAATCTTTACAATTACCCAGTAAGGCATGGGAGGACTACACTTGGTCTGTGGCCTGCATATCCACCTGGCTTTTATTTTACAGCCTGAAAGATCCTTGCTGAATTTTCCAATGCAGCAGCAGCTTCAATAAGAAAGAAAGAAAGAAAGAAAGAAAGAAAGAAAGAAAGAAAGAGACCACTATTTTCCTTTTAACTGTGGCATTGTATCTCTGAAATATGCTAAGATACTGACAAAGATAACAAAATAAAAAGGAAAGAAAATGGCCTTTAAATTTCCTTTTCCTTTTAAACAAGGCTTGCAAGGAGGTGCATCATTCTCTTTTGAAGTAAGGCACTGGACACTTCATTTTTCTTTTAAAATGGACCATTTAAAAGATGAATTTGCTCTTTTTGCCCCCTAATTCTTGTGGTATAGGAGTGAGAGACAAGTGTAGTTTCCAGGAGACTGGCTTGAGAGGCAAATGTCCCCTACAAATGTTGCCAGATTGGATCCAGGACAGAGCTCTTGTAACTTTAATCTTTAACAACTCTTGAACTGTAAAGCTCCATGATGCGAGAAGCTACCTGTCTTCCCTCATCTTCCAAACTCCAGTTTTCAGCTGCATTCATTTTTCAGCTCAGCTGTAGACCTGTCTCTATGCAGATATTCCAGTGGAAAGATTTTAGAAGGATAAGAAAAGCTCAGCACTAATGTGAGGTGATATATATATATATATATATATATATATATA